AAAAAAAAGTTGTTATATGGATTTGAATGATTGTTTTGAATTCTTAGAATTTTGTTCATTTGCAATGTACCTAAGTTAGTAGCGAGCGAAGCGAGCTTGGTTTGAGAAGCAAATCATATAGGATTGCGTAGCAATTTTCGGGGGTTGGCGAGCGTTAGCGAGCAGGGAGCACAGCCCACTAGTATATTATATTATAATTAGTATTGTTTTATAATATATAATAATTAGTTTCTTTTATATATGAATATCCCTAAGTCCATAAATATTTAAGCTAGATTTACGAAATTTTGTGCAATTATTGATAACCAAAGTAATTTATACAAGTTTCGAGTTATATTTTTTGGCATAAGGTGTTAAAAAAAACACTCTTTTTTGTTCGTCATTTATTACCAATCCCTTAGACTTTTGAGAGACTTTTCCCTTCTTCAGTGACATGCATGAGAAATTGCATGTCTTCGGATCATCCTCAGAGATGTTTCCCAAACCGTCGCCAATAGCCCATTGGGCAGCTCTAGTGCGGCGTAAATAAAGTGCCTACCTACCTACCTTACACAATCCTTTATGCAATAATCGCTCTAAAGATAGATTAATGCAGGCATTCAACAATCATTTGATCAGAAGTGACTGTTTATACTGTATGTGACTGACACTTCTCTGAACACTATCGAAAAGAAAATAGAGCCTGATTTAGTGAGTTTTCCACGCTTGATCGCAACGCTTGAATGCGCTACCTGAGGGAAAAGACTGGTTCCTCCCCTTTCCTCCTCCTCTTCTTCTTAGTTGTATGGAAATATAGTACAATATTTTCTCCTTACGTAACATGTCCCGCAGTGGACTGATCGTAAAGACACGGTTCCCAGCAGATCACCGAAGTCAAGCATGCGGGTGGGTGACCACAGTCTGTGTAGGGACCGAGGGTTTGAGTTCCATATAGTTTCGCCTCATTTCAAAGTTTTTAATATATTTGGAAATCAAGATCGAAGCTAACGCACCTATGACTATCCATACGCTGATGGAATGCGCAGTAGATAAAGAGTCCTGCTCTCTGTCATCTGCAGCCCATTTCGATCTCCATCAATAGTTATTTTTTAAAAGTACTGTGCTATAAAAATTGAAGAAAGAAAAATTCAGGTTAAATTCTTTAATATACGAGTGAAACATGCCTGTGTACTTTTTTCATCATTTTTTATTATTTTATAACCGTCATTGAACAGCCAACCCAATTACAACAGTTCAACTCCGTAATTTTGAACTCGATCCAGAAGATAAGCTCCTGGATTGTAATTGTCTTGTATTGGAAGAAATTTGCCTCCGTGGAGGACTTTTTGATGGAAGTAACCCGCATTTGCGTTACATCTAGAGTAAAATCACGAAAACCTCTCACAGTTATTCTGACGGCAAGGGGACTATAACACATGATCTGCCTACTACTGAGGATAGCTTATGTCAGAACTGTGGTCGGTGCGAGCCGGGTGCGAATTCATCTTAATGGAAAGCGAACGCTTTATCCCCTGAGCCACCAAGGTTCCCTTCATCCCTTCAGTGACATTGTTTTCTTTTCTATTTATTTGTACGTTAGTTACAGCAGGGACTCTGCAGATGATGAACTTTACAATATAAGAGACCGGCTCTAGAAAATTAACAGTTAAAAAAATAAAGAGCATTATTT